ATCACGGTCTCGTGGTCAGCACCATTCCCAATGCCACCGCTCCTCCTGGTCCAGGGACAGCGGCAGGTTGTACGCCAGCCCAGCCTCCCTTTGTAGTCGTCAGTCGATGGGACAGGCTAGTCAGGCTGAACAGCCTGCTCTGCCGGTGCCACAGCAGGTGCAGTGGCACTGGGCACCTTGGCCGGCACCGTGGTATCAATGGGCCCTGTGGCCCCTGACACAGCCCCCAGTGGGGGCTCGCTTGGTGGCCGGAGCCTCGGCATGACCGCCGGCCTCCCAGAAAGGAGTCAGTGGGATGTGCGTCTTCGGTTCTGTGCCCGGAGGGCGACAAAGTGGTGGGACCTCTGGTACCGGTGGGTATGCAGAGTACCACGCCTGCATCCTCACCCTCCTCTGATGTGGCGATTACAGCCCTTCCTCCCTCTGTTCTGCAGGAGGACTTTAAGGCCCACCAGGAACTATTGAAAAGGGTGGCATCAAGTCTCAACCTTCAGGTCGAGGAGGTGGAGGAACTCTCGGACTCCCTCTTCAACGTCCTGTCGGCCTTGGTACCGGGCAGGGTGACCCTTCCACTCCACAAAGGGGTGGCAAAAATTTCAAATGCCTTGTGGCAAACCCCAGCTTCCTTGCTCCCCATCTCTAAGAGGGCAGAACAGAAGTACTTTGTGCCCACCAAGGGGCATGAATACCTGTACACCCACCCTGCCCCCAACTCCCTGGTGGTCGAGTTGGTCAACCACAGGGAGAGACAGGGCCAACCAGTCCCTACTCCGAAAAATAAAGACTCAAGGCAGCTGGACTTACTTGGGAGACAGGTTTATTTGTCCTCAAGTTTCCAGTTAAGGGTGGCAAACCATCAGGCTCTCCTGGGTCGGTATGAGTTGAATTTGTGGGGCTCTCTACCCAAATTTGAGGACTCCCTCCAGGAGCGTGACAGGAAGGAGTTCAAAGCTCTGGTGGAGGAGGGTACAGCAGCTGCCAGGGCAACCCTGCAGGCAGCGTCGGATGCTGCGGATACAGTTGCAAGGTCCATGGCCTATGCAGGGTCCATGAGAAGGGCGTCGTGGCTCCTGCTGTCTGGGCTGTCCAGTGGGGCGCAGAATTCCTTGCAGGACCTTCAGTTCGATGGCAAGGCCCTGTTTGCGGAACAGACAGACGTGAAATTGCATGGCCTGAAAGATTCCCGCACTACGCTTAAGACACTTGGCCTCTATGTCCCGGCTCTGGCGAGGCCCAAGTTTAAGCCTTAGCAGGCTCCCACCCAGGCCACCCACTCTAAATATGAGCCCCCTTATAAAAAGTCACGGGACTATAAGCAACGCCCGCAGAGGCAGTCTGCCCCCCAGCCTGGGTCCTCCAAGGGTAAACAGTGGGGAAACATCAGTTTGACGGGACACCTAGGGGTGACCTACTAGTTCACACCAGGGATCCACCCGCAATAAAGCTTCCCTTCTCCAACCAGTTGTGTGCTTTTCTCCCAGAGTGGTCGCGGCTGACTTCAGATTGTTGGGTCCTCAACACCGTCTCCTGGGGCTTTACCCTCCAGTTTACCTCGCCCAGCCACCCTCCACACCTGTCCCTCCTGGGGGACCCCCTCACGAGGCCCAGCTAGAGCAGGAGGTGGGGCGGCTCCTTGGCTTAGGCGCTGTGGAAGTGGTGCCAGCGGAGTTCAAATGCAAGGGGTACTACTCCTGCTATTTCCTTATCCCAAAGACCAAAGGGGGGCCCCAGCCTATCCGGGACCTGCGAGGCCTGAACCAGTACATGGTAAAGCTCAAGTTTTGTATGGTCTCTTTGGCCTCCATCATCCCCTCCCAGGATCCCAGGGATTGGTATGCTGCCCTCGATCTGCAGGACACGTACTTCCACATTCATATATTCGAGGGGCACAGGCGCTTCCTCCATTTCACAGTTGGGCAGGAGCACTATCAATTTACAGTCCTCTCGTTTGGCCTGTCCACTGCTCCCAGGGTATTCACAAAGTGCATGTCTGTGTTGGTGGCCTACCTCAGACGTCATGGGGTCCAGATCTTCCCCATCTGGATGACTGGCTGGTCAAGGGCAGCTCCCGGTCGCAGGTGTGGGATCACGTGGCGCTCCTCCTGTCCACGTGCACCACCCTGGGCCTGTTGGTGAATGATACCAACTCCACGTTAGTCGCAATACAGTGCATAGAGTTTATTGGGGCAGTCTTGGACTGGGCCAGGGCCTCCCTCCCACGGGACAGATTCGAGACGCTGAAAGGGCTGATCGACACAGTCACAAAGTTTCCCGTGACGACAGCCAGAGCGTGTCTCCAGCTCCTGGGTCGCATGTCAGCGGGCACATATGTGGTTCACCATGCCAGACTCCGGATGAGGCCCCGCCAACTCTGGTTGGCCTCGGTGTTCTCCCAGGCCCGAGAAAGGATGGACAAGGTCCTCACTGTGCCCGAGCCAATGATCGTCTCCCCACAATGGTGGTCCTCCCTGGGGAACATGCTCCGTGGGGTCCCGTTCAGGGGCAGGCCCCCGTTGGTGGAGCTGGTGCCTGACCCATCGGACCTGGGGTGGGGAGCCCATGTGGGGGATGTTCAGACCCAAGGTCTGTGGTCTGCGCAGGACCTTTCCCTGAGTATGAATGTCAAGGAACTCAGGGTGGTCCGGCTGGCATGCGTGGCCTTCCGCTTGCGCCTGGAGGGCAGAGTGGTCAGGGTTCTCACAGACAACAGCCTCAATGTTTTACATCAACAGGCAAGGCGGGGCCGCTCCTCTGCCAGGAAGCCCTCAGGCTGTGGGACTTCTGTATAGCCCACGACATCTGCCTACAGGCCTATCACCTACCGGGCACCCAGAACTCGTGGGCAGATCGCCAGAACCGAGACTTCTCTTCTCAGCATGAGTGGTCTCTACACCCAGAGGTGGTGCACAGACTTTTCCCCAGATGGACCTGTTCGTGACTCGGCAGAGCTGCCGGTGTCCCCGGTTCTGCTCCGGGGGGGCTGGGAGGTGGGCGCTATCTCCGATGCCTTCCTCCTATCCTGGTCAGGCCAGCTTCTCTATGCCTTCCCCCCCGATCCCGCTGATCGGCAAGGTCCTGGAAAAGATAAAGACCGACGGGGCCCGGGTCCTCCTGATTGCCCCGGCGTGGCCCAGGCAAAATTGGTACGGGACCCTCACAAGCCTGGCGGTCGATCTGCCGTGGCCATTGCCGTTCCACCTGGACCTGCTCTCCCAGGAACAGTGCTGCCTCCTCCACCTCATGCTAGCTGCACTCCACCTCACGGCATGGCTGCTTAATGGTTAGGCCAGGAGGAAAGGACGTGCTCGGAAGGGGTTCAGCATGTCCTCTTAGAAAGCAGGCAACCCTCCACGCATCGAGCCTACTTGGCAAAGTGGTCTCGGTTTTCCCAATGGGCGGCTGAGTGGGGCGTTTTCCCCCATGGCTGCCCCAATCCAGCTCATTTTAGACTATCTCCTTCATCTTAGAGCCCAAGACCTTGTGTCCTCGTCTGTCAAGGTGCACTTGGCGGCCATATCAGTCTTCCACCTGCTAGTGCAGGGGCACACAGTATTCTCCCATGCTATGACTGGCTGATTCCTTAAGGGATTGGATCATCTCTTCCCGTACATTAGGCCCCCAGTCCTGCAATGGGACCTGAACTTGGTGTTGGCCTGGTTGACGGGTCCCCCCTTTGAGCCGTTAGCTACATGCTCCTGGTCACACCTCTTGTGGAAGGTAGCCTTCCTGGTGGCGATCACATCTGCTAGATGAGTCTCGGAACTCAGGGCCCTGACCTCCGAGCCCCCGTACACAGTGTTCCATAAGGATAAGGTCTAGCTCCGCCCACATCCTTCGTTCCTCCTGAAGGTGGTCTCCGCCTACCACATGGGTCAGGACACTTTCCTGCCAGTTCTCTGTCCCAAGCCCCATGTGTCCAGTGAGGAGCACCACCTCCATGCGCTGGATGTGAGAAGGGCTCTGGCCTTTTACCTGGAGCGGACTAAGCCATTCAGGAAGTCTTCGTAGCTGTTCATCGCTTCGGCCGAACGCATGATGGGTCAGCCAATCTCCACTCAGCGGCTCTTCAACTGTACACCTCATGTATCCGTACCTGTTATGACCTGGCGGGAATCCCTCCGCCGTCAATTGTGAGGGCACACTCAACTAGGGTGCAAGCCTCGTCGGCTGCCTTTTTAGTCCATGTCCCCATTCAGGACATTTGCAGGGCTGCCACATGGTCTTCAGTTCACATGTTCACCTCGCATTATGTGATCGTCTCCCAGACCAGGGAAGACTCCGGGTTCGGCAGGGCTGTGCGTCATCCTGAGAGTTTGTGAACTCCTACCCACCTCCAACAGATATAGCTTGGAATCACCTATTGTGGAATACCCATGAGCAATCACTCGAAGAAGAAGAGACAGTTACCTTTTCCGTAACTGATGTTCTTCGAGATGTGTCGCTCATGTCTATTCCACATCCCGCCATCCTTCCCCTCTGTCGGAGTTGTCTGACAACAAGGAACTGAGGGTGGGGGGAGTGCGCAGCGCCCCTTATACTGCACCGTAGAGGCGCCACTCCAGGGGTTGCTACGGGCGCGCCCCTATGGGTACTGCTGGAGGAAAACTTCTGGCTCCAGTACACGTGGCAAGCACGCACACCTATTGTGGAACAGACATGAGCAACACATCTTGAAGAACACCAGTTACGGAAAAGGTAACTGTCTTTTACTATTTTTTTTTTTTTTTTTAATAAATATAATTGCATCCTGGCCTATGCCAGTGGTTAAAACTAGGTCAGGGCTCAATGTGGATGGAGCATGGAGGAGCTCTAAAAGGCAGTTTCATCTAGCCCTTCCTGGTTAAAAGGAAATTGGCTATAGATCTAAAGAGAGAAGGATAGGATAAATCAGGAAAGGGCGGGGGGGAGATCCCTATGATTGCAGATGCCTCCATGTGAAAAATAACAAGAATCTACAATACAAATAGGATGTGAAAAAATAAATTCTTATTTTTTTCACTTCTGTTTTTAAACACTTATTTAAGATGTCTTGTAAACTGAATTGTTGAACTATGTATTGTCCCTGATCTTCGTAACTAGCACTCTAGTGTATTTTATTTGACTCTATAAGAGAAATCTTTGTGACAGTTATGTGCGTGCATGCAACTGTGAGTTTTGTCGTTTTCCCAACACTTCAAAAACATCTTTGATGTTTTTATATCTTAGACTGAGACCGTATCACTTTGATGGGATATAGATCATCATGTGTAAGTTATAGGTTTGTAAATATGAAAATTTGAAATTTAAAAAATACTTATTTTAAGAGACAAAGTTATTAGGATTTAAATCTGTCTCTTTTTGAAAATACAAACAACAAAGATTGGAAAACATGCTTCATATAAAAACCCTGTACATCTGCCATTGTTTACAAATCACAGCTATATTATATTGGTCATCACTTACAGTTCCCATGATATATACATGATTGTTTTAAATCCTTTTGTTTTGTAGATGACTTTGATGAATTCATGTTGAGTAATAATGATGTTGTGCTCAGAAGTATTGCTGAAGATCTTCGGAATTGCTTACCCATTGAGGCAATGCTTAACTCGGAACATCTAGCAATTAAAAAAGTAAGCTTGTCATTCTGGTCTTTCTCTGCTGCACCACAGAATTCACTTGGAGATTATAATAGTAATACTGATGGAAATATGGTCTATTGGTTAGGGCATTGGAATGGGATTTGGGAGACCTGGGTTCTGTTCCCAACTCTGCCGCTGCTTTGTTGTGTGACCTTGGGAAAATCACTTCACTTCAGTGTGCCTCAGTTAAATATTTTGATTATAAGTTATTTAGGGTCTTTTATTACATGCATGTAGAGTGCCCAGCAAAATGCAGCTAGCCTAGTTATGGGATATAGTGCCTGGCTGGCATGATGATTCCTATTTGGGTCCTCTAGGCACTATTACAGTATGAACGTGAAATAAGAAAACTGAAAAGATCGAGCCAGTGGTGTGGTGGCATACAGTACAGGAAATTCAAGTTTGGCTTCCAGTTCCTTGTTTCTTGAGATGTTAGGGACTGAAAGAGGCAGGATGCTCAGTTCATGTGTATTTGGGAGTGGAGAAAAGTAGCATCTTTTCTACTTAAGCACTTCTTCTGTTCATTCCAGGAACAGAGTTAATACATTCCCAGAGGAGCGGCATGTAGTTCTTAACTGGAAGTATGGATTGGCCCTGTACACCAGTGCTTTGAGGGGAGGAAAGAGGAGATAGAGGGATGTTTGAGGAACACACCCCCTTCAAATAATAAGAAGGCAAACACAATAACATCCATCTGATTGAAAATTGTACATGCATTAATCAATGGTGTTTCTGATTCTGAAATATTAAACATGAAAAGATGTATTTCTTTAGACAGTTAAAGTTGTAAGAGAAGTAGCATTACCCTAGTGTGCTTCTGGGGTGAGTAATGAGGCATTCAGCTCCCCATCCCCTAAATGTAAGTCACCTCTTCCTTTGCCCAAATTGTAAAGGAAAGAGGGAATGCGTCCCTTCCCTAGCCTATAACCTATACTTGTCTCTTGGATACCAAAAGCCCCAACTGTCCCTTGCCCAGCTGGTCAAACCTCCAGCTTTTCCTTGACAACTTCTGCAAAGCAGTTTCTTGTCAGTTGAATATTGAAGGCTAAGACTACACACAAGAATTGCATTTATTTAATCAAATAGATTTTAAATAAATCTGTGCAACCCCTATTGGGTGGGACCTTCTCTTAAATCAATTTGTGTGACTTAAATCAATTTGGCTTAATTTGGTTAGACTAGCCCCACATTTTGGAGAAATATGTATTACATTTAGTATTAAAATACATAAATTACACAAATACCAGTAGACTGATTGGACTGAACCTTGGGGGAAGGTGGAGAGTGCGTGAGGAAGTAGTGTACATAATTCCAGGACACGTGATACGTAATTTATGTCTAACGCATTGCATAGGACACAGTCTGGACCTTTGGGTTTTGTTTAAAACAACCAAATCACTGTATAAGTGAAATAAAGAGATTTGCCTGTGATTTTCTTAGATTTCATCTTCTTTTTCAGATACTTGACCAGCGAGAGCCGACAGTTCATGTTGATGCATTCCTTTATGATGATGATATTATTGATTCATTGTGTGAGAAGGGAAAAATGAGTAGAAACTACTGTGTAGTGTGTGGCTCACACAAGACCGCACCTTTAGGTAAATACCATGTTGTGAGTGCACAAGCCAAATAGATATGCTGGCTGATTTGTGAATATACAATAGATGTAGCTATTTTATATTTGTTAAAAATAGTCATGCAGTAGCTCAGCTGAGCAACAGACCATCCAGCTGATTGAGGACTTTGGCCAAGTCTACTCTAGGAGTGCTTTACCAATATAGATATACCGTCATGCTATACCAGCAAAGTGCACCTAGAGTGAAAGCTGTTTTTACTTGCAAAACTCAGCACTTTTGCCAGTGTAGCTTTTTCCAGCGCTCCCCTGCCCCAAAGCAAAATAACCTAAACTGGCAAAAGCACAGCTTTGCTGGTATAACTGTGGCTATACTAGGGGCTTTTGCTGGTATAGCTATGTCGGTCAAGGATCATGCATCCTCACACCCCTACTGACGTAGCTATTTTATGAGAAGTCTATAGTGTAGACTTGGCCTTTGTCTTTCCAAACTGGCATAGTCATCAGGCCAGATTATTCCCCACACTCTGCATGGGGGAGAGTACAAGAAGCCTCCTGCACACAAGGGCCAAACACACTGTCACATTTGCATGAGTGACACTAGCCAGCCACAAAGGGGGCAGGAAGGAGACAGGGTTATGGACTGCTGAAGAGGAAAGTGCATGCAGCAGTGTCAAAAGAGATGACAGTGGCCTCCTCCACCTTCACATGTAGGAACACTAGGAGGCACAGTGCCTCTGAGAGCTGCTCTTTGGCCTGGTGCAGCTCTGTGCTACCCCAAAGCAGAGCAGGGCCTTTAAAATGCAAGACATAAATATTTTATTACAGTAACATTCAGTGTTCTAAAAGCTAGCTGTTCCAATTTAAACTATTTACAGACTTTTTTGTGAACAGATATATTGTTACATTGAGATCTAAGATGCTGTATTCAGTTGTAATACTCTGAATCATTCACCGCCATTAATGTATAGTAATATTTCCAGGTAAATAATTCATAGAGCTGTGTGGAGAAAGGTAATTCTGTTTCTCAGAGGATTTCAGTGTTTCAGAATTTGGTTTTGTTGCAATTCAGGCTGAAAACCTAAATTTTAAAAAATGTCCCCAAAAGGAAATGGAGCACTGATGCCAAAGCAGTCCGGCGGTGCACTGAGGAGCTGGGCGAGTGAGCTGGCAGGAAAGCAGGCAGGGGTCCATCAGGACCCCTTTCTGGATTCCCTGAAACATTGTCAAAGTCAGACTGTCTCCATGGAACATTATGAGTTTGACAAATCAGTAAATTCCGATGAAAAAATATTTTGTTTGAGTTTTTCCAACCAGCTCTAATAATTATAGTTAACTTCTCTATAATAGAGGAATGGTGCTGATTGAACTAAAGTTAATCTAGTGACAAAGGCGCGGTCTACATTAAAAAGTTAGGTAGACCCAGCTACTTCGCTCAGGGGTGTGAAAAATCCACACCCCTGGGCAACATAGTTCAGCCAACCTACCCCCGATGTACACAATGCTAGGCCGACAGAAGAAGTCTTCCATTGACCTGGCTACTACCTCTCAGAGAGGTGAATTACCTACGCCAATGGGAGAGCCTCATCCATTGGCGTAGGTGGTACCTACCCTGAAGCACTGCAGCAATGCAGCTGCAACACTGCAGCTGTGCTGCTGTAGTGTTTCAAATGTTGACAAGTTCTAAGTCATAGCACAGGACACTGCAGACGGTTGGTGGAGCCCTATAATAAAAAAATGTCTAGGAAATAAAAATTAAAATATAGTAGAAGGGGAGAGCCGTGTCAGAGTAGGGTTAAGCTCTGCTGAATATTTTGCACTGATGAATGTTGCCCATGTAACACATTTGTTCTGTTCTGCTTTTATTTCTCAGAGTTTATTTCTCATTCCTTTTCCCTCATGGAACTGAAGTTTCTTTATCAGTATGCATTGCCTGACCTGACAGGAAAGATTCTGGTTGACGTTGGCTCCAGGCTTGGTGCAGTGCTATTTGGGGTAAAATCCAGCATGGGAATTCATATTCTGTTTCTGTGCCATACTTTTCCCTTCTCCAGTTGGCAGCTTTCATTGTTCCATACTTTATCTTCATCTGAGGGGACAGATCAACAAATAGCCATCTATAGCATGAAGCATCCAGCCAGTAAGAGGTGTTCTACTCTTGTACACTCAGTTCTCCTTCTGCTTCTCACAGAGACAAAAACACTGTTGATCTCTTTTATTGACTTGCCTCCACAAACGATCAGAATCTATTGTCCAACAGTATAGCATTTTGCTGTCGCACACCCTGGCTGCTCTTTAGTTTGTTACTGCTCAGTCTCGCATTGCTAAATTAATGTTTTCTTTCCTGTTCTGGCCAAGTATTCTGCTGAGTTTTGGTAAATCCCATCGTGAAGCGGGAAACTCTTAAATTTCACTGAAATGCTTTTGATATGAATTTGTCTCCTAGCTCAGTGTTTCTTGACCTTTTTGATACCAGGGACTGGCTTGCTGCCTTCCTAAACTGTGTCAGGGAAATATCAGGGACCAGTGCCAGTCCATGTACTAGTCGTTGAGAAACACTATCTAGCTAACTTAAAGTATTTTGTCCTATCAAATACTTTATCAGGAAGCTCAAGTGTAATTTCAGATTGATGTTGGCATGATTGGTACACTGCATGGCCAACAGCAGCACAAAACATATATGGGTGCAAATTATATCAGTTAATAAAAAATTCTTAACAAAGTCAGTGGCTTCAATAGGGACCTGATCTTGGAGACACTTGAACATGTAACTTTACTCCTCTGAATAATCCAGTTTGGGATTAATCATATGAATAAAGTTATTCCCACATGTGAATGTTTGCAGGATTGGGTCCTTATTGTTGTCAGTTATTGGATTTATTTTGAATTTCTGGAGCACTTATATTGTTATAATGAAAGAGAGCCTCAAGATAAAGCAGCAATATAATTAAAAGAGAGGTTCTCTTTTTCATCATATTCTTGGCTTGTATTTCAGAAGTGGCAATTTGCCATGTTTTATCTGCACAGGTTGCCTTTCTAGCCAGAGGGTTGAAGGGCTTCAGAAAGCTCTAATAATCAAGTTGCAGTATATTGACATCTGTAACATAGTATGTTTGTCATTTTTTTTTTTTTTTTTTTTAAACTTTCCTATGCTAGCTAAGTGTAATTATAGTGTTCATTGTAGATAAAATTGTAGTTAAAGTTGCAACATTTTACTCATTATAGGCTGATGTTTTCTGGCATTCATACTTTCTCAAAAATTCTCCTTTTGGACAGAAACTTTCCATGATTGGTCTGAGTCCAAAGGCAAATTACTTTAGAATAATGTTTAAAAAGTTTAATTCCACCATTTTTGAGGTATTGGTAAAATATAAATTATGATTTACATTTTTTACATTTAAAAAAAATACTGCATCTATAAGTAGCATTGTTCAGTCTAGAAGGAAAATCCTTTTGTGAGCTCTTCCATCCCATTATAGGTGCAAATTGGACTTTCACATACCACTGTGTGGAGTGAACTCCCGATTCATACTGTGTGTGTGTGTGTGTGTGTGTGTGTTGTTGGATATTTCTGTTGCATTCTGTTCTCCCGCAAAAGAAAACAAACCGATAAATATATAAATAAAAGAATCCCAACACAATCTTTGTTTGTTAATTCCACCCCCCTCCCCTTTCAGTTTATTTTTATAATTCGGTTTGTGCTAACTTTAGTTTTTCCCCCCATTCCCTTAAGCCAGTTTCTATGTATCTACCAGTAGAAGTGGAGCCGTAGTTGTTGCTTGCTTTCCTTTCTTATCTTGGCCTATCAGCTCACATCTGTTTTTTCATGGTAATATTCATAAACCATTTACTGTAACTGCCAAAAAGAGGGTCTTAACCCTGGAAAAATATGTAGTTCACTCTAGTGCATTTCCTACCATTCTGTTTTAAAACGAATTTAAAAAATTTTAACAACCCCTCCAATACACTTTTTTTTTTTTTTTTAACCTGCCTCTAATCATAACCTTTGTTTTTCACTTTATAATGTTTAGTTTTTCCACTTTAAGTTAGAAGAAGTCATTTTATAGGCACCTCAATTATTACATTTCCTCTCCTTATTTCAGGGCTATCTTTACAGCTCAGCATCCCAGCTATATGGAGTGGAAATGAATTCAGACTTTTGCCAGTTGCAAGAAATGATAATCACAAAATACCAATTTACAGACAGAGTAAAGGTGACTAAATACATTTTATAGTGTGTATATTTTTTAACCAACTGTATAATAGATTAGTTAATTCTATTCCAATGAGAGAGGCTGGTAAAATCAGTGTTGTTCTAAAGATAAATCTGTACTTTGTTGGTTTGATTTTAAACAAAACAAAAAAAGTTGATGTACATTAAAACTGAGAAGAGATTTAAAAAGTTCTTTTTAAAATATAGTAATATTTGATTCATTCAGCCTTTTGTCTGAGTATGGCTCAATCTCTCAGCTGACCCCAAACAAGTACATACTGGTCTCATTAAAATCAATAGAAGTTCTACCGATGTTTCACTGTTTGTTGAAATAGGATTAAGCCAGTATATTAAATGTTTATATCTAGAATGATAAGAAAAACAAGAGGCATCTGGGGTTTCCATATTTTTTTAAGAATAGCAAAGATACTGTCAAGGATTTGCATTTGAGTAGACGCTAAGGTCTGCAGGCTGCCAATGTTGGGTGTTGTATTTCTTTATTAGTTTCTTTGGAACTGAGAATTTCAGTTCACATTAGTGCATATGTGTGTCAGAAAAAACAAGAAATGTTCCAAACAAACTCAAACCATTAATATACAGAGATGCTGTTTTCATAATGAGAACAGTCCCTTTTTGGGAATGTCTTCGCCCATGCAAAAGGCAATAAATAAAACACATTAAGTGAAATCCTGGCCCCATTGAAATGAGTGGCAAAACTCCCAGGGTATGTCTATACTGCAGCTGGGAGTGAGGTGGGTCTATCTTGGGTGGCTAGCCTGAGCCTTCGCTAGTGCTGCGGCGTCCACACTGCTATTTTTTTTTTTTTTCACTAGCTTGAGCCCCGCTGGGATGAGTCTGTTTACTTGGGCTGTGAGGCTTGGTCCTAGCTGCAGTGTAAACAAGGCTTCTGATGTGTCTGAAATATATCAGTGAAATACGATTGTACTGTACAACAGAATGCTCCATCAGGTTAATTCACTAGAGACTGTAGATGTGTATATACATGCTCTTGAGTTGCTTTATATCTGGAAAATATACACCTTAAATGTTAGTTTTTCTTCACACCTTGTAATTCTATTGAAGTGTTATAGTTTTCAATGCATAAAGATAAAACAGATAATTTTCAAAGCAGTGCCTGGTGACTTTGCCATTCAACTCCCACTTGATGTTAATTTAGTCATGTGACTCCTGTTATCACACACTGTTTTGAACATTATCACACACTGCTTTAAACATTTCATTCTTGGATTTCAGCTTCACCCCAAAATGAATCCTCTCTTTTATTGCATCTTTTTTTGGAGATATACAGTAGCATGAAAAAACAGCCAGAAGCCAGTTGGCTAAGTAATAAGTAGGTAAAAAGAGGTTAAAAATCTTGGAGAGAAAAAAGCCTCATAATGGCCACTGTTATCTGGGATGTTCTGATAAAAATCCAGAACGATACACTCTTTCCACTGTAACCTCTACTACCTGAGAGATCAGAGTAAAACAATTTCTATATTTAATAGTGAATTTATGAGTGAATCTTGTGTTGTTCTGTTCATAAATTAAAAAAATAAGTGCATAGAAGTCACTTATGTTGTACCATGTTTGGTGTGAATGCTTAGAATTTGATTAAAAAACAACAACAGAAGTTGGGGCAAATTCAGAAAATCACCCTTACCTGTATCTAACTTTAATACACGTAATTATTTTTATATAGTAGTTTGGTTTTCTCCTAGTACCGTGAAAATCAAACTTTTCAGAACTGATTTCTTTTTCCCTTTCGATTTAGCAAAGAGTCAGTCCCCACCTTTGGTTGACGAATACTTATATATAGCACACAAACTTTTTTTTTCTTGGCTACATTGTGGAGGATTTTAAAGAAGTGATTTGGAATTCAGAGGACATTTTAAAAGAAGGTATTGTAGATCAGATTTGAGACTGTTGACACAATCCCTTTAAATCACCAAATTAGAAAAGAGTATAGAATAGTTCCAGGAAACAAGAATTGTACTCTACCCAGATAACATTGTCATTCAGATTAAAGAACATACTGAGAATAATGTCCAAATAATCTTCTTAACCAAAGAAGCAGTGAACTTAATCCCATTTATAGTCTAGGGTCACTAAGAAGTATGACTATAAACTCTTAGTGAACCCTTCGGCTCTATTCTCTTAAATGGATGAAAGTCACCAGTGCTGCTAGTTCTTCATTTTTAACTAGTCTTAGAGTTTTGTTTTCAGTAAAGTGAATACCGAAATGTTTGGCTACAATGGAATCACTACAAAATATTCTGTTAGTGCAGGGGTGGGCAAACTTTTTGGCCCGAGGGCCACATCTGGGTGGGGAAATTGCATGTAGGGCCATGAATGTAGGGTTGGGGTGTGGGAGGGAGTGTGGGTGGGTGGGGGTGTGGTGTGCAGGAAAGGGCTCGGCAAGGGGTTGGGGTGGAGGAGGGGTGTGAGGTGTACAAGGGGGCTCAGGGCAGGGGGTTGGAGTGCAGGGTGCAGCAGGGGCTCAGGGCAGGGGGTTCGGGTGCAGGAGGGGTGCGGCGGGGGCTCAGGGAAGGGGGTTCAGGTGCAGGAGGGGTGTGGCGGGGGCTAAGGACAGGGGGTTGGGGTGCAGGAGGGGGCGGGCTTCGGCCCGGGGCAACTTACCTTGAGTAGCTCCGGGTGGCAGCCGCGCGCAGTTGGGCTAGGCAGGCTTCCCTGGCCCCGCGCCGCTCCCGGAAGCGGCTGGCACCACTTCCCTGCAGCCCCTGGGGGAAGGAGGGGCAGGGGTTCTGCGCACTGTCATCGCTTGCAGGTACCTCCCCCAAAGCTCCCATTGGCCGCAGTTTCCCATTCCCAGATAATTGGAGCTGCGGGGGGGCGGTGCCTGCAGGCGAGGGCAGCATGCAGAGCCCTCTGCGCTCCACCCAGGGACCGTAGGGACATGGTGCCAGCTGCTTCTGGGAGCGGTGCAGGGCCTGCAGCGTCATTGGGGTGGCAATCCCGCGGGCCGGATCCAAAGCCCTGACAGGCTGGATCCGGCCCGCAGGCCATAGTTTGCCCACCGCTGTGTTAGTGGTTGGCCAATGCTGCATGAGTCAGAATGATACGTTCTCCCCACTTCAGTTGCTACAGTGCTCCTTTGCATGGGGAGTGTCTCTTTCCTATAGCAATCAGAATAGTGTACATCTGCTTAAGTGATCCAAGTGCAAATATTTCCTTTGTGAGGATAAGTTTTGATAAAACAAAAGCTTTGTCCTTCAGGAAGGACCGTTTGAACTGCAGCTTACCCCAGTCAGTAGCGGAAAGACAGATCACTTTCCCTCCCACTACCAGCAGGTTTTTAAGCAATTCAAAGAGTGAATAAGAAGTTATGGTTTCCTAGACAAGAAAATAGTGGCAAAAGTGTTTTCTTCTCTACACAAATACTTCATTTTCCTGTGAGAAGACCTCCCCCAAAATTAATTACCTGAACACTAGTAGAGATTAACAAAATGTGGGATATTCAACCTGCTAGATTAGTGTGTGGTGGTATCCCACCACAATAGCTAATTTACTCTCCATTACATTAAGTACCCAGGCTGGCCATTCTTCGAGTGTTTGCTCATGTCCATTCCACGTTAGGTGTGTGCATGCCATGTGCACCGCTGCCAGAGGTTTTTTCCCTCAGTGGTATCCGTTGGGCTGGCTCTAGTGCCCTCTGGTGCCACGCGCTTATGCACCGTTATAAGGGGCACTGCTGGCATCGCACCCTGTCAATTCCTTCCTTCCAGCCTGTGACGGTTGATGGAATGTCGCCTCCGGCAAGGCGTTTTTCTCTTCAAATTTAGTTTATTAGTCTTAGCTGCATGTCCATGAATTCCGAGCCCATCTCCTTGGGTACTGCTTGTGAGTCTCCTAACGTGGAATGGACGTGACATGAGCAAGCACTCGAAGAAAAAACGGTTACTAACCTTTCCATAATTGTTGTTCTTCAACATGTGTTGCTTACGTCCATTCCATAATTCACCCTCCTGCCCCTCTGTCAGAGTTAGCAGCCAAGAAGGAACTGCCCCTTATACCAGTGCATAAGTGCACAGCATCAGAGGGCGCTAGAGCTGGTCCGATGGATACCAATGAGGGGGAAATCTCCAGCAACGGTGCATGCAGTTTGTGCACACCTAACGCGGAATAGACATGAGCAACACATCTCAAAGAAAAACAGTTATGGAAAGGTTAGTAACTGGTTTTTTCTGCATTATCAGTCCCTTAATATTGACTGTAAAAGGTGACCAGTGCCACTGCATCATCCTGTTTGTCCACCATGATGATGTCACTCCTATAAGTAACACTTTCATGGTGACAGTGATCCAGTGTTCAATTTCAGATTGAGTAAGCAAAGTATCAGTTTAGCTGGTTCCAGAAGTTAGATAAATTCACTAGGTTGATTTCTAATTGGTAGGGACACTTCAAATCAAATCTTGGTGCACAAATAACACATGGATTGACAAAATCCCAAAAGAGATGATACTACTACTTTTTCAGTTAGAAATTTAAGATTTATTTTTCTGGGTTAGGAGGAAAGTCCTCCAACTTCCTGTTAGAGTTTTGATGAGCCTCCAAATTCCCCCTATGTTGTCATCATCATCAGCTGCCCCACAACTCCATTTTCTGCTACCATTGTTTTGGCTGAGGAAGACTGGACAGGATGCTGATGTTCAAGAAGAGCTCCTATACTGACTGGAGAAGTACTTGTTTAATAATATGAGGCACTCTGTCTCTGCAGTTCTCCCTCTGAGGGCTGAGCACATCGCATCTCCATTACTTTCAGTATGTGGAAGGAGAATACAATAACCAAACTTGGGTCTTCATGGACAGTCTGAGCCTTAATCACTAAACAACCAGCTCAGCCCTTAAAATGCATTTTAATAGCATCATGAAAAGCTTTAGCTGGATTAAATCCTTTACTAAAATTAATAAGCGTTCATGATGATAAAGCACAGATAACTAAAATATAATAGTAATTTCCTAAATCTTCTATTGTGTCATTCAATGATCAAGATCAAAAGTAGATGTAATATATTTTTATTTAATATACGTAATGAATTAAGTACTGTAATTACTGAGGAAATAAAACTGGCTTCTTTAACAGTCACACTAGTGAGTTCATTTCTATGTTACTTAATATAAATTGTATGAATTGTATACTGTACTCTATGTACAGACTATGTCTATTAGAAAGCTGTGCATCTTCTTCTAAGTTAACTTTTACGTATGTACAATTATTTGTCCTTCAGGTGCTTCATTCAGACATCTGTACTCAGGCTTCACTCCTTCAAAATGCTGATGTTGTTGTAATGAATAATGTCTTTGAATATTTTCTCGACAGACTGGAACAGGCCAGGTAAGTATGTGTCCAAACAAGTCATCAGTTTCTCTGCCAGTGGATTTAACCTTGCAAATTATAAAAAATCCTTTATATTGTGCCTTTTGAAGTCACACACATAGTTTGTATTAGAAAAATGTATTTTAAAATGCCTGTACTTGATTTAGTCAGATTTAGCAGCTAAAACTTATTAGTTTTGAAATCTACTAAATCTACTAAAAGCTTTTTCTCTTAGTTCCACCAAGACATTTCTCAGAACATTTGCACTAATCTGTTAAAATAGGGTACTGTCTTTATAGGAAATAATTAAATGGTCTTGAATTGTTTTAACAACATAAAGATTAAAATCTGTAACAAAATAACAAGAGGATCCTTCCTCAAACCTATGGATTACAAAAGGGCTATAAATATGTATTCACACTGCAAATTACAGTTACTAGTGACATTTCAAACATGAAGTCCTCAAAGGTGAGCTATAAAGGGCAAAGGCATGGTTAAGATTACACCTGTGTTCTTTGAGACACAGTTATGCCTTTACTTGCCTTAAAAACTAAAGATTATTGGCTTAATGTTGCACAGCAAGCCTAAGGAAGAATGAGGTTTGCAGAGTGATGGAAACTATATTCTTCTTAGTCGATATTACTGTGGTATGTGAAATGATCTGACTTGTAAAATCAGGAAAAAGTAATGCTGGAGGATATATCTATAATACTCTGGTTATGTTAATTTACCTCAAAGTATTTTGTCACCACTGCAGCATAGTGATATGAAGAGAAACTTTTGGCTATAGTGAATAAAAAAGTGAGTGAGGACTAGCCTCTCTCCTCTAGAGACCAGAGTTCAAATTCTGATTTAAGTCACAAATTAAGTTGTCTGGTGTCTCATCCTAGTTTAGAGTGGATATTTGTTGACTATCACAAAAAAACAACAAACTTGGACATAACTGGCAGGATCTCAGGCTCCAGATTGGAATAGCAAGAGTGTTGAATGTCCTGGGTAAGGTATGTTAGAAGAGTTAAGTGAGGAACATTACATAATCTCTGCCCTCACCACACGCCACTGACAGAACTATTCATTCTTCCCTTTTTTGAGCACCAACTAAACCTAATTTTAAAAAGGAAAAGAAACAACATATTTCAAAACTAAAACTCTAAAGCCATATAATCCCTCTGATCTGCATGAGTAGCTCCCATTGGTGTTAGTGGCTGGTCCACACACAGACGTACAGTAAGATATGAACAGTGACTTTATAGTAAAGCACAAATTGCAAATCTTTAAAGTCAATCTACTTCTGGTCACTAAATTATCAGTGTTAAATTCATTTTATATTGAATGTGTTTCCTTCTCTAAAAACTGGCCATCTTTTGATCTTTAAATACTATATTTGGATTTTAAAATGTGTTTCAGAGCCTGGGAATTTATCAGTCATAATATGAGGAAAAAAGGGTCATTATTAGTGACAGTCCCAAGCCTTGAAGAATCTATCTCAAACCTACAGGTTCGTGGTTCTTTTTCAAATAGTTTTAGCTGACACATTTTATCTTACTCTTTATGAAGGGGTTATAGTGAGGCAATATGCATTCTAATAGTTACTATTCAGGCTGCACAGTATCACAGAGAGGGCAGTGTGGTCAAATGCTTAGAGCAGAGAACTGGGAATCAGGACCCTGGGGTCTATTCCCAGCTTTGCCACCAATTTGCATGACCTTGAAAACTTATTTCAATCTCTGTGCCTTGGTTCCCCAGCTGTAAAATTGGGATACTATTTATCTACCCCCACAGGGCTGTTGTGATGCTTAATTCATACCAGCCCTTAATTTTGAGGATCTCAAAGTATTATACTATTATTCAAGCCTATACTATGTATGTTTTGAGTTGTATAACATGCTTTCATCAATATATTACTTGGAATATGGGTGGAAACATAAAATCATGTGTATAATTAATCGGCAGATGTTAATCCAAAGAGACTCCCATTCCAGATAAAAACTCAGTATGTTTTCCACAGTCAGACCCAAACTTGAGTAAACAGATAAGCTGACTGAGTTACTTTTCAGAAGTTATCCTTACTCTTTCCTATTTAGGTAAAATTATGCTTCCAGAAATAAGTTTAACTTACCAATGGTGAATAAGCTGTAATGGCTAAACTGTCTTTCTCTCCTCTTCTCACTGATGTCTGCCGCCCTTGGAACATAGGTTGAGTTGGTTGATCAAAACTGTGTTAATTTATGTATCTGTTTTAAATTGTTTCAGACGGATATACTGCTCAGCCAGTGGGTAGAAGAGATGAAGTTGGACTATGATGTATACATGGAAAAGGATATTGATAGAGAAGCACTTGAACAAATTCATTTGTACAAGATTATCTAGCATACAGACTGATTTACTGATAACAGTATAAAATCATTGACTTCAGAGGGAGCTGTGTGAAAGGACTGTAGGATTAAGCCCTATTTCCAAAATAAATCGTGAAAAATCTTACTATTTATTTTAGAAATTATACATATTCTCACTAATGAAACGGGAGCTTTTGAGAACATATTTTGAGATGTCAAATTTGCATTAAAGTTCTCAGTGTGTCATAACAGTACAATAAATTTTAGCCACTAGGTATCTCTGTAGCTTCATTCTGCATGGAAGTGTTTTGAAAGAATGGCAGTCTACTAACACCAGAAGAGTCCATCTTGTGCACTATTAATGGCTGTGAACCTCCCAAATTTAAAAAAAAAAAAATGTATTAACAGAAAAATAGAGACCCACTATTTAAATGTGAATGGTATTCATATATTTAACACAGCTTTATTTAAAAGCTTTAATATATTATGTTGGTGTTTAAGTACTGACAAACTTACAGTACTGCTATTAATATTCTGCCTATGGAATTCCTGATTTTTTTTTTTTTTTTTTAAGGTCTGCACAGTAGCTACAGGCATTGATGTAGAAAAGATTATTGTCCCAATTTAGGGTAGCATTGTGACAGTGGCGATCTCCTTCTATTCAATGGTCCCCAGGTTGACTGTTGATGTAATTGGGGATAAATAAGAATCCTTCAGAAATATTGGTCTAAATATAGGAGAATGAAAATCTGCTTCACTTCCTTAATTTTAATGAGGATTGTAAGGGGTTAAGAAACAAAATATTCTGAGCAAGAGTTGTGGCCTAGCATAATCTTTAATGATGTAAAACATTGGCAATACACAATAACAGAACCGTCCCCAAACCCTCTCAAAGAGAACGAAAAGACACACACACACACACACACACACACACACACACACACACACACAGCTTATATGTAGATTTTCTATTCCAACTATATAAAACTTTCAATTCACTGAAAAATTTTTCAGCCTTAGACATCACTGACAATCAATATGTTTTGCATTTAACTGCAGGAATTTTTGACTAAGTGCAGTGCCAGTTGGAAGCAATGTTACTGTATGTCTAAAAGTTTTCTACACAAGTTAAGTCCTGTTCAAGTAGCAAAACGTTATACTGGCTACACTTTTTATTTTTCTAATAATTTGCAGCAAAGAATACCTATAAAATGTTGTAATAATATATATGGAGGCAAAAAGATTAACAGCTAATTGGGGCCTTAATAGCACACCAAATACATGGATCTTTATTATGTGGGTAGAGCTTTATTTTTGAGGCCAAGAAGTCAGACTTTTCTCACTTCATTTTGTTTTTTTTGGTGGGGGGGTTGTAACTTGACTTATGTTGAGCCTGTACCCAGAGACTTTTGTGGATGCATTTTTCATAAATTATAAAATGAATAAAGATGGAAAATTATGGTTAAAAAGTTTCTATTTATTTTCTTTATCTAGAATAATTGAGCCCCTCAATCGTGTATTCCTGCCTGTACTGATCAGCTAGGAAGAGATTCCCCATGAGGCTAAGCCACATGCAAGATGGTGACAGTATAAGGCTGTGATCTGAAAATGAATGAGAGGGGTCATGAAACAAGAAAGGAAATTTAATATGCATTTCAGAATGAGGAAACAAGCTCTGCAACCATAATAATTAGCTCAGAAAGGTATGACAGAAGTTTGACTGAATTTCAAACTTACTATTAGGGCTCCTATGGGGGGTGGGGGGAAGTGGTATAACTTGATCATAGAAGGCTACTTTAATAACAAATACTGCCTTATGAGCAGAAAATAATTCCACACATTGGTTTGTTGCTCATGTTTCAGAGGTACAGCAAGGATCAGTCACTTCTCGGTTTTCGCTACTTCTTAGTTTTCTCCGTGTGACTGGGCTGGTTTGTAATTTTGCAATTTGTTTTGGTAGTAACTATATAAGGGGTGCCAGCTTTCACCACACTCTCTCTTCCTTCCTTCCTGCTTTTCATTGACTCCCCAAATGCTTTGGTTTTTAAGTTGCTTTTGGGTAAAAATTTCAGTAGAGAGAGGGTGGAGCAAATCCATATTTGATGACATTTGGACCCTCTGACATTGAGGTTACCGTACATCTGGAGCTCATTTACAGTAGAGGCTATTACAGGAAGGCTCCTATTGCCTTTTTAGACTAAATTCAGAGGCAAGTCCAGGCTAGTGTAACTTACATTTTCACTTGGCACTCTCATCAAGCATGTGACATTTGGACACCTTTAAACTGACTGACATAAACTATCACTCTCACTTACCCGAATGGAACTTACATGCCTTCTGATACGTCAACTCTTAATTTGGCCCACAGAGTTTGTGTGTGTCCTAAGGGAGTGTGAGTTGGTGTAATTAATGTGTTGAGGGCTGGAAGATAGGAACATAACAAGAAAAGCAACTGTGTGTGTATGAAGGTGTAAGTTAAAGTAGACCACCCTCTCCTTTAATTTTCATGATCTTCTCGGTCCTTGATGCATAAGTTTCACAAATTTTGACTCCTCTACACACGGGTAGAGTGGATGTAAGGGAGCCTGGGTGCAGAGGGGATGGGAGTGTTACACAACTTTGCACATTCACAAATCTGAAAGATGTTAAAATTCTACAGTTTTTTTCAAAATATCAGATTAGGTATGGAGTGTCCAGTAGGCAGGGTTCTGTTCTCAGCTGTGCCCCAACACACTCTGTGACTTTGGGAAAGGCATTGAATTTGTCTCACTCCCATATAAAAATGGGAATAATATCTACCTCAAAGAGGGGTTGGGAAGCTGAATTAATGTCTATTAATTGCTATGAGATCCTTGGATGAAAATAGAAGTGCAAAGCCAAGCTGGGCTTTGTGGACCTGCAAAATCTGTAGTTGCAGGGCCTGCCTAATTTGAGGGACCTAAAAATGGAAAAGATCTCAGAACTTTTTTTTGTAAGTTAAGTTTCTAATCTTTTTCCTTGCAAAGGTAGCTTTGAAAATGGAACCTATGTAAAATGCTCAGTCATGCTGAAAACTTGATTTTTTTTTTCTTTTTTTTTTTTTAATTTTATTTTCCCCCCTAATGTCACACACTATCACAGTCCCCTCGCAGCCACTCATAGTGGTCACTGGGATCTAGAAAAAACTATGAATCTATCTATAGTTCTCTTGGTTTTTGTGAAGATCTCAGATCAGTTCTTGTCTGTATGGACAGTACTCCCCAGCCTTCTACTGGTGGCACTACAGCAGTTGCAGGCTCTCTTCCAGATGGCTGCCTGAGGCTGAGCCAGCTCCTCTGCAAAGCAGCCAGCATGACCTCTGGTCGCAAAGAGGGACAGCTCTGTGAAAAGCACCAGGTGCAAGGGACTAATCTGAGGGACTAAGCAGCTCTGGCTGATACTCTGTTGTCTTCAGGGGCGGCTCTATGTTTTTTGCCGCCCCAAGCACGGCAGTCAGGCGGCCTTCGGCGGCATGCCTGCGGGCGGTCTGCCGTCACGCGGATTCGGCGGCGTTTCTGCGGGTGATCTGCCGGTCCCGCGGATTCGGCGTACCCGCCACTGAAACCGCAGGACCAGCGCACCTCCTGCAGGCACACCGCTGAGGACGACTGACTGCCGCCCTCACAGCGACCGGCAGGCTGGCACGTGCTTGCGGCGCTGGTGCCTGCAGCCGCCCCTGGTTGTCTTGATCAAGTTGCAAAGTCCAAAATTTTCAAACTAGGTGCCTAAAGTTAGGTACCTAAATTAGGGCTGTCAATTAATCGCAGTTAACTCACGCTATTAACTCAAAAAAATAAATCACGGTTAAAAAAATTAATCACGATTAATCACACTTATAACAATAGAATACCAATTGAAATTTATTAAATATTTTTGGATGTTTTTCTACATTTTCAGTATTGATTTCAATTACAACACAGAATACAAAGTGCACAGTGCTCACTTTATATTATTATTTTTTATTACAAATATATGCAATGTAAAAATTTAAATTCACCTCATATAAGTACCAAAGTGCAATCTCTTTATTGTGAAAGTGTAACTTACAAATGCAGATGTGTTTTTTTGGTTACATAACTGCACTCAAAAACAAAACAATGTAAAACTTCAGAGCCTGCAAGTCCACTCAGTACTACTACTTAGTCTGCCAATCGCTAAAACAAACAAGTTTGTTTAATTGACGTGAGATACTGCTGCCTGCTTCTTATTTATAACGTCACCTGAAAGTGAGAACAGGCGTTCACATGGCACTTTTGTAGTTGGCTTTGCAAGGTATTTACATGCCAGATATGCTAAACATTCGTATGTCCCTTAATGCTTCGGCCACCATTCCAGAGGACATGCTTCCACGCTGATGATGCTCGTTAAAAAAATAATGCGTCAATTAAATTTGTGACTGTACTCCTTGGGGGGAGAATTGTATGTCTCCTGCTCAGTTTTACACGCATTCTGCATATATTTCATGTTATAGCAGTCTCGGATGATAACCTAGAACATGTTCATTTTAAGAACACTTTCACAGCAGATTTGACAAAATGCAAAGAAGGTACAAATGTGAGATTTCTAAAAATAGCTACGGCACTCGACCCAAGGTTTAAGAATCTGAAGTGCCGTCCAAAAACTGAGAGGGACGAGGTGTGGAGCATGCTTTTAGAAGTCTTAAAAGAGCAACACTCTGATGTGGAAACTACAGAACCCAAATCACCAAAAAAAGAAAATCAACCTTCTGCTGGTGGTATCTGACTCAGATGATGAAAATGAACAGTCCGTACTGCTTTCGAACATTATCAAGCAGATCCCATCATCAGCATGGAAGCATGTCCTCTGGAATGGTAGTTTAAGCCTGAAGGGACATATGAATCTTAAGTGTATCTGGCATGTAAATACCTTGCAACAGTGCCATGCAAATACCTGTTCTCACTTTCAGATGACGTTGTAAACAAGAAGCGGGCATTATTTCTTGCAAATTGTAACCAACCTTGTTTGTCTGAGTGATTGGCTGACCAAGAAGTAACACTGAGTGGCTCTAAAGTTTTACATTGTTTTATTTTTAAATGCAGTTTTTTTGTACATAATTCTACATTTGTAAGTTCAACTTCCATGATAAAGAGATTGCACTACAGTACTTGTATGAGGTGAATTGAAAAATACAATTTTTTTGTTTTTTTACTGTGCAAATATTTGTAATCAAAAATAAAGTGAGCACTGTACACTTTGTAGTCTGTGTTGTAATTTAAATTAATATATTTGAAAATGTAGTAAACATCCAAAAATATTTAAAATAAATGGGATTCTATTGTTGCTTAACAGCACGATTAATCACAATTAATTTTTTTAATCTCTTGACATCCTAACCTAAATACAAAGGTGCTGAGCAGCTGCAGTGCCCATTGAGGCCAGTGGAAGCTGCAGATACCAAGCACCTCTAAAATCAGGCTACTTTTACCGAAGTGCCTATCTAGGGATATAAATGCCTTACTTTACATGAAGAATGTGGGTGAGATAGTACCTTTTATTGGACCAAGTTGGTGAAAAAGAC